TTTTTTTTTTTTTTTTTTTTTTTTTTTTTTTTGGTACCGGGGATCAAACTTGGGTCCTTGCATTTGCAAGGCAGACAGCAACACCACTGAACTAAATCCCCAGCCCCTAAGATTAATGCTTAATCACAGGGATTTCAGCACAGAAATGAGACATAAATCTGTTTTCACCCAAAGATGACCACTAAAGCTGTTTTCTATTTTCTTCTGGTCTCTTATTTTCTCCCTCTTCTTTCTTTATAAAGTCTCTAATCTTTTCAGTTTCCCAGCCACTGTCAGAAGTCATCTTCTGGGAACATTTTCTCCGTAAATGCTTGGGCTTTAAAATCTGACTCGTTTTTAATCAACAGATTTCTTTGGAGGCTAGATCATTACTCAACATGATCCATATTTTAGGTCAGACTAGGAACATGGTATTTATGAGTATGGTTTTAAATTAAAGATTGTGTCCAGCTGACTTCCAAATCTTGAATTCTACAAGTAACAAAGAGTTATCAGTTAAAATTGTTGACCATGGTGAAGAATATTACATTCAAAAGAAAAAACATACTGAAGAAGTAGCCCCGCCTTATCCTCAGTTTATCATCAGCAATGAAAATTGTCAGTCATCTGGGCTTTTAGCCAGTCTTTTCTATTATTTTATTATTAAGATAAAATTGAAATAAAAGTCACTTTTTAAAAAAGTAGACAATACAGTGGGTTTTAGTCTATTCACAGAGTTGTTCCACCATCATTCCTACCTAATCTCACAGCATTTTAATCACTTCAAAAAACAAACCCCAGGGTCGGGGATTTAGCTAGTGGTTCCATCGCCTGCCTCGCAAGCCCAAGGTCCCAAGTTCGATGCCCAATACAACAAAACAAACAAACAAACAAAAACCTCAAATTCCAGTTTCTCCTAGCTTGTAAAGAGTTTGGAAATTGTTACTCTGCTCCTGAAAAATGTTTTCTAAAAACCAGCTCTTGGCAGATCTTTCAGAGAGGTCACAGGGGAAAACTGTTTCCTCCGAAATGAAGAGCGGGCCAAAGACGAGAATCGAGACTCCCCAGAGTAAAATCCCACTTGAACACGTTCTTCCTGCTTCCGGGTATCTGTCCTCCGTGAGGCTCCTCATCCACCCTTTGGGTTTCTCACATTAGGAGAAGCAATGTGCTATTTACACTTGTGTGTCTGATTTATTTCATTTAAGATTATGGTCTGGAGGTGCATCCATTTTCCTGCAAATGATTCAAGAGGGGAAACAAAGGGAGTGGATGGGGGAAGGGACAGAAGGCGGGGGAATGGAAGGAAAAAGTGGAAACAAAGCTCATGTAAATGGGGAGTGGAAGCAAGGTCCAGGGGTGCGGAGCAGAATGAGGAAAGAAATTGGGATGAGATGTATATGGGTAAGAATTTCTTACGATAAATATGATCAATACATATGATAAATACTTACTAATAAAAACTAAAGTTGTAAAGGAAGGGTAAAAGTCCCAAGCAGCAATCTATGCACAAGTCTGAGAATCAAATCCTCCAAGAGGGCCCAGTCATAGTCCGGCTTCACACTTTTGTGAGTTTTACCTCCTGGAACTCAACAGAGTTACGGCAGAGACTAACAGAAATTAAAAATAAAAGTTGTCCTGTGGTACTTTTGGCAGGAAGGTGAGGAAAAAATAGTTTCTGAATGGGCCAGGAGTGATGTTCTTTACAAAAGGTTTGATCTTGAGAGAAAGTATTCCACTAGAGCAGTCATGGTGAACGTATGTGTGGAAACAGGCTATGAGTACCACTGAAACCCTAAAAGGTTCGCCATCCCTGTACCAGAGTATAAATTGTTAGATGTTAAGTGATCCGGGAGGAGAGAAATATCCAACTCCAGCCTCCTCCAGCCATCCTAGCCCACCAGAGGGATAGAAAAAACTGAGAAGCACTAACGAAGATTCCAGTTCAGAGGCCCACTAAAAACAGAGTTTTAGAAGTTTTAGAAGAGAGAGTTTTCCCACTCCCAACACCTTATAGCTTCATTGTTAAAGCTTCATTATTATTCACAGCAACTCCTTTAGGCAGACCACCTATGCAGCCATCAAGGAAACACTACAAGTCATATCAAAAGGCAGTAAAAGCAGTCTGGAAAGACAGTAAGTATCAGAACTAGCCTCAGACGTGTCAAAGATGTTGGAATTACCGTGCAGGAAATGCTCTCATTGACACAGTAAGCTGTGAGCTGCAGCAGATGGGAAATGCAAACGGAGGGATGGAAATTCTAAGGAAGGATCCAAAAACTTTGGAGAGTAAAATTATAACAGAAACAAAGAAGACCTTTGATGGGCTCATTAGTGAGATGGACAGAACCGAGGCAGGAGTCTCTGAGCTTGATGATCCATCGATAAAAAACCAAAACAGAAGGCCAAAAGAAAGAAAAAAAAAAGACTGAAAAACATCAAAACAAATTATTTAAGAATTTTGGGTCCACTG